CCCCAAAACCCCAAAACCCCAAAACCCCGAGATATGCTATAAATATTGGAGTCAAAATATTAGTTTCCACACAATTTTTGAATATTGCAGTTTAAACATTAGACATCTCAATTGAAGGTTTGATAGCAACCTGGCTGTGCTTTGATACTTCTGAGGTGGATTTACTCACATAATTGTTGCCATAATTAGCTGCTCCTCTTTCGAGTCGGAATGCCATAATTTCATCCCTGTTCTCATAGACTCGTTGAGCAGGCATATGCCTAAAGTTAGAGATAGGCCTACCTTTTGGCACCCCGGTGGTGGAACCCCTTGTGAGAAGTTGGCTTGAGAGACGTCACTGCATTGCCAGTAAATATTTTCACAGGTTTTGATTTGTATTATTAGAGACTAAGCACCAATAATACACAATTCCTTTAGTGTGACTCCATTGGTCTTCTAAGTAGTGCCATTGCAAGAACAGACAGAAACTCACATAGAAGAGCTCGTTGATGATCTCAATGATGTTATCGGTTACTTTCTCAAATGGTCTGATGATTCAAATCATTGTGCAGTGGATGCAGTTCACTCCGAGATACAACCCTAAGAAAACAGGTCTGCTAAAGTCTGACAATACTATAAGATTACAACAAACTCTTACATGCTATCATTGAACAGAGCAGTGCTCTTCTGATGAAGAACAGTACGAGCTGGGTTCTTCCTGCTTTTGTAGGCTTGAGGCCTGAAAAGAGTCCATTCAAGAACATATTCTCTGTATCGAGGTCTTTAGAGCCAGTATAGATCCAGATAAAAGTTGCAGAGATGATGATACCCAGTGTGAGTATACAGAAGACCACAGCAAAGATAAAAGAAAGTCTTTCAGTGTCCGTGCCCACTACTCTAAAGCTTTTGAATTCTGAAAAAGAGCACAAGACTATTGTGATAAAGCTTTCAAAGATGAGAACGAAGTACATCTCAAAGGTAAGACACTTCTTGATGTATCTGGCTACTCTAACTCACAACATCTGGGACTCTTTGTTTCAGCTTAAAAAGGTCGCCACAAATAAATGAGTTATCAAAAACGTGACAAAAATGCCAACCAGAGTGTTCAAGTTGATGATAGTGCTTCCAGAACTGATGTCGATCATTTCAAAGTCAGTTCTCTCTTGAGGGCAATCGAACCAATTCCACACTGTTCTAAAGCCAGTGAAGGAACCCCAGTCGATGTTGGTGGAGATCAGGGATATTGACAAGGATCTGAGGTAGTTTACCACAATCGAAGGAAGGTGTATCTCAAGAAGTAAAAGCAATATCAGAAGCTGCAGCTGATTGATTGATGACAAGATTGAGTTCCTTGAAGCCTGGTTTAGTATTTTACCGATGATATTTAGAATAACTGAAATTGAGATGACTGACAATGTACTAGCTCTCACTGCTTTTTCTTGATTAGTAAGAGTATTTAATTTGTTGACTTTCTTTCAGACGGTTGGACTTGCTTGATCTCATTCCCATCCGAGTTCAATCTTACTTCAATCAGATGATCAACCATCATTCTCAGTGGTGTTACTGTCATCTCAGGCTTCTGAGCCAGCAACATAGCCATCTCCACATTGAGGAATACATTCTAGTGGGTTTAATGGATCATCCTGATAGAAGCCCTGTGTGGATTCTTCTCACACACTTTTTGTTGTTGAGGAGCCTCCTGATCAAACCCAATTTGATTCCACAGCAGTGCAATCAGAGTTGCAGCCATCTCCATTGTTGTTATTGTTATCATCACATACTTCAGGACTGATGATAAAACCATCTCCACACTCGGGTCTGCATTGATCTGTAGTTGAAGGAACTTGTTCATACTTATCAGGACACCCAACAGAAATTTGAATAGGACTTCCTCCAATATCACTAGTAAATGCATAATTTTCTGAAGAGATGATCACCTTGCCAGCTCCTCAATCCCAAAAGAGCCTCAGAGCAAATCCTTGAGTTTTCTCTTTCCAGTCAATGTGAAGGTCATATATCTCGAAAGCATTGAAATTATAAATAAAATTGGTCGACCCATGCATTGTATTCCCATAGTTGCTGATCTGAGCTGCTCCATTTATTTTGCTATAGAATTTAACTCCAAACTTACAGAGTCGCTCCATCATCTTGGAACAACTCTAGGTCACAAGTTCCAGACTGGAAAGAAATAAGCTTTCCTGCGAACGTGGCTGCCACATTATCACGATGTCCAGGGGTAACATCTTGACTGTATGAGAGCCAAAAATTGATCTCTCTATTCTCTGAGAATGCATCACTTACGATAATGTTTTAGTCACATCTGGAGTTCCGCTGATGCTTCCTGAGTTATAGTATTTGGCAGTTATTCCTTGAGTTACTGATTGGACCACTGAGATCGTTGCATCCCCGATGTGGTTCAAGTCAAAACTAGCAGAGTATGTTCCATCTGTGTTGTCTGTGAGCTTAATAACTTTTTCTCCACCATTAACTGCACTCTGAGTGAATGCAGAGGAGCCTCAGGCCATATTGGTTCCTCGAGTGCATGGATCTGTAATAATGATATAGACATCCTCTCCTCCAGTTATTAAATTATTCCCTCCTGAGTCTTTCGCCTGGACAGTTAGCGTGTAAGTCTGATTAATAATCAAACTGTCTCCAGAGGCCACTCCAGAGATAGTACTTTGGGAGGCATCAAATGCCAGTGCTACAAAAAGTGTAAATATTTAATTTGTCATGTCCTACTAATGTAATGATCTATCTTCTGATCATATCCGAATTAGAAACTAAGAATCGGTAAAACTAATAGTTTGCCCAATTTGGTAAAAATCTTGGGAAGTAGTGTTCAGTTTAATAATAAAATTGAATTTTATGATTACAAGGACTTAATATTGAAAGTTCAAAATATGCAAGAAACAAGATTAGTGGCTAGTCCTTATTAATTGTGCAAGCAGAAGAATAGTTAGGTCCCCAGTTGAGGATACAATATATTTTAGAGCAAGAGTTTTGCAAAAATTGGAAGAATGTTGTATTGCCAACAACTGTTTTATTAGGACAACTTATACCATCTGAAACAGGATAAGTCTCCGCAGATAATCTTACCTGAGCACAAGATTGCTGCAATGAAGATATATAAGACATACAATTTGAACCTAAAAGTCAAGAGTCAGCTTTATAAAAGTACTTGGGGCCAAGCTTTGAAATGGTAAAAGTGTCTACAATATAATATAGAATCAAGGAAGAGATTCAGGCTTTCTTTTGTGCAGTAAGGTCGGAATAAACCAAATAAATTTCTTTCTTGATTCTCTTATGCCCTAATCTATCATATCAAGTGGCCATCATGCATGTATGGGAGCCATCTTACCACTCCATATATTTTATTATCAATAATTATGCATCGGCTAGGGGTTTTGGGGTTTTGGGGTTTTGGGG